CTGACTTATGTAACTGTAACCCCTCTGTACATCACCTTTACAATGAAAAATTAAGTAAATGAAATTAAAAGAAACTGCATGGCAGGTGCACACCTCCAGTGGTAAAAGTGATATAAAAATTAGAGAATTAAAAAATGATATACATGAACCAGAAGCAAAAGAAAATACAAGACAAAGATAATGTTTTATTGGCTATACAAAATAGTACAAAAAATTGTAGTACTGGATTAAATAAAAGAATGCTTCAGGTTCTGTCCTTCCTGAGTGGTTAAGCATGGCTTAGGATTAAGGAACTTTAAAAGTGTGTTAGAGACAGCTAGTGGGTACTTATGGCTCTGTAACAAGTTACCTTGGGTAGCAGAAAACTTCCAGAATTCTCCTCAGAACAAGAGACACAAGAGGAATGGAGTGAGATATGGAGGCAGACATAGAGTCTCTGATGTCTGTAGTTCATACAAACCCTTCATCTCTGGCTTCTGTCATTGGATGGAGCAGTGGCTGGACCTAAACATGCTTCCTTTCCCCTCAGCCTTTGCTTTTGGTGCCGTCTCCTGAGCCATGAGAGGCCTTTGAAAGGACATCCATATCACCAAGCTCCGACAACAAGAACTGAGATGGGCTTCGGCCCATCCTTCATCAACTGCCCCTCTAACAGCTCACCATTCAGCTTTCCTTTCTGAGAGCTAGGCCTCTGATTTTCAGGCTCTCAAATGAGGATCACAGCACTGCAAAACATGTTCAACATGCTCCATCTTGGAGAAGTACAAAGTCCTGGTGTCTGTGTGTGTGTGTGTGTGTGTGTGTGTGTGTGTGTGTGTGTGTGTGTGTGTGCTTCTGTCTGCACACAGGACATTTTTGTCTTCTGTTTTCATGAAACACATAGTGGAAATAATCACCTACTCATAACTGACAGGTGGAAAAGTCAGACTTTTTAAATTGCATGTATGTGTCTGAAGCTACACAATGTAGCTAAAATGCCCTAAAATGGCATTCAAATTTCAACAAAGGCATAGATATACCCATTTAATTCATCAGTGAATTCTACACGTTAAACAGCAGACATAATATCTTGTAAGGCCAACATGAAGAGAGAAACTTAACACTTCATTGGTCATCAAAGAGGTGTTAATTTATAGATTAAGCAGGATATGTTTGCTAATGATAACTTTGATATATACTGAGTAATAAGTGAGACAATTATACTTTCCTGAAAAATTATAACAAACTATAGATTTACATATTATTTTCAGAGTTGAATGAAAGGGATGACATTTTTAGTGTAGTCTGATTAATATAATTATCTACGTCTTATTCACAATAAAACGTTTTTTTTTAGGTCTCTGAAAGCCAATTTCGTACACATTTTTCATATGTATCTTTGACAGTATGGATTTTTACGTCACAGAAAGTCATTTTCCCCCTGTTATTTTTTTAATATATCCACACACAGTGCTGCTAAATTATATTTTATCTATCTCATTTAATAGTAAAAGTATTTCTGGGTGTATATTCAAGATAACCTCAATAAAATATTTTTAAATTGCTCATTGTGTTTATTTTTCCTGAATATTTATTTTTAAGTTTTTAGAAGCTACACAAAAGTTGCATGAAGTTACAAGGTGCTGGTGGTTCACGCCTATAATCCTAGCTACTCAGGAGGATGAGATCTGAGGATCGCGGTTCAAAGCCAGCCTGGGCATGAAAGTTTGTGCGACTCTTATCTCCAATTAACCACCAGAAAACTGGAAGTGGCGCTGTGGCTCAATTGGTATAGCTCTTGCCTTGAGCTAAAAAGCAGGGATGGTGCCCAGGCCCAGAGTTCAAGCCCCATGACCAACAAAAAGAAAGGAAGGGATGAAGGAAGGAAGGAAGAAGGAAGGAAGGAAGGAAGCAAGGAAGCAAGGAAGCAAGGAAGGAAGGGAAAGGAAAGAAAGAAAAAGAAAGGAAGGAAGGAAGGAAGGAAGGAAGGAAGGAAGGGAGAGAGAGAGAGAGAAAGAAAGGAAAAGTTGCATAAAGAATGAGTGCTGACTCTGGTGGAGAAGTACAAGGTTTTGTAGCAGAAATGCCTCTAGGGAGCTTTAATAGTTGGTCACCATGGCTTTGCATGTTGGTTCTCTACTTATGAGCGACAGGAAGCTCTCAGAAAGCTTGCTTACCTTTTCCAACCAGAAGAGTCAGCCCTCTGTACCCATGGACTCCAGATCTGTGCATTCAATCAAACACAGATCACTCAGAAAATAAAATATGAGGAACTTGAGTTGCAGATCAGTACTAGAACATTTGTATAGCAGGCATAAAGCCCTACATTCAATGCTCAGCCTATTAAAATTAAAAATTGGAAAAATAAATTTTGCCTATACTACATGTACAGAATTTTTTCTATTATTCCACAATTTTACAGTAGTACATAGTCGTATAAAGATAAATACAGTAGTGTGAATAGTTTTACAATAGTATATGTAGCATTTACAAAAAAAATCCAGAGACATTTCAGAGTATAGGAAGGATGTAGCTACATTGTATGCACGTACCATACCATTTTATATCACAGGTTTGATTTTATCTGTGTATGGCGATGCCTGAAATTGTCCTTGGTCCAGACTCCAAAAATGTTGAAAGATGATTGTAGCAAAAGCAGAACTACCAGGGTCAAAGCCATAGCACCTTTTAGAATTTATTCATCTCTTGCTTTATTTCCTTTTTATTCTATAATCTAGAGTTACTCATTACAATTTCCTCAGGAAGAAATACTTTTATTCACAAAAGTCCAGCTCATACTCAGGTCCAGCACTAATTATTTTAAAAAGTGGCTTTGCATTAGCTATTGTAGAAGAAAGAGACTGTGAAGATATAATTCAGTATCATTTTGTATACCAATGATTTGTACAGATGAAGGGAGAGTGTGACTCCTCGGGAGGGATTCCATGCACCCCCCCCCCCTCATCCATCCGCCCCTCCCCCATGTCCCCAGCAGCCCTTCTGATCCCAGGCAGTGAGCCTGTGCTCTCTTCTACAAGCAGGATGGGAGAGTAAAGGGAGGTAAATAATCCCAGCTGGACATCATCTACTTCTTGTTTACAGGGATGAAAATCAGTCTCCTGACAGGGTGCTGTGTTGCTGGCAGGCTTACTCACAGGGCTGGGCCGAGGTGTCTGGTGCAGCTGTTGAAATGGATCTCGTGCTTGTGCTGCATTTGACCTTGGAATGCCCAGAAATCACAAAAACACAGCCTCTTGGGGGAACAGACTTACACTCGCACATGTGTGCACACACACACACGATCATGATTATTTAATCTGCGGGCACACATCAAAAATCAATGTAGGAAAGATTTCTTTTTGTTGTTGTTGTTGCTTTTCTGTGTTCAGGCTTCAAGCAGGTCAGCTAGGACTGACCAAATAGATGGTTCTAAGGTTTCTGAGGATTGTGGTTCGAAGTCTCACCCCCCCCACCCCCCCCCCCCCCGCAGGAAAGTCCGTGAGACCCTTACCTCCAATTGTGAGACCCTTACCTCCAATTAACAACCAGGATATACACATGTATACTGATAACTTACCAAAGCTGATGCTCATGCAGTGCCGATAAACATTTGTTTTTATAAACCCTGGCTTAGGATTTACTAATTATTTGGATAAAGGCTAACAATTCTAGACTGGCAGCTGTTAAGATAAAAAGGTACTTCATTTTTAATATGAGCAATGGGGATTTATGTGAATTTTCTCCTGTTTGACATCAACTTTTTCATATTTTCAATAATTTTAAGATTCAGAGCCCAAGCTAAAGAAACATAAATCTTCCACACTGAACCAGCAGGTAAATCTTCAATGTGGTACAAAATTGGATTTGGAGTCTATATCAAAGCTGTGAGAAACTTGGTTCACAAATTATGGTCTGTTTCAAGCATATAGAGTTATGGGCACGAGTAAAATGTCAGCATCACTTAGTGAAATGAGAAAACTGAGGAAGAGGCAGTTGTTGAGAAATCAGAAATAAGTGGCCATGTCCTTTGAACTAACGCATGACGTTAAAGCTGAGACTGAATGATGGTAAACTTGAGACCTTGCTATATTTAAGACTCCTATTTGTGTCATTTGTTTTTATTGTATTGTCCTTCCCTAAAGTAGTTTGAAGGTATCTAGTATCTATTGTACATAGCAGCTCTCTAACAGAGTGAATTTTGTGAATATATTCTCCTAGTCTCTCTTCCAATTTAACTTTCTTAATGGTCTTTTTAAAGCAGAATTTGTTTTAATGAGATCCAATAGCTACTTCTTCTCTGAGTAGTCTATACCATGTGTATTTTCAAGTTGTTGTTCTTAACTAAACATCATAAAGATACTTTCCTAGATTTTGGACAAAATAAGTTGCTTCACACATCAGGGCCACTGTTTTGAAGTAATCAGTGCATGGTGGTATGCAGGTCAATGAGCATGTTTTATTCACCATGGAGGTAGAAGCAAATGAATACAACTAATTCAAAATCTCTCCTCCACAGTGAAGGAGGTAAGGGAACAAAACGTAGTGGTTACCACCTCTTAAACAGATGTTAACTCGTGCATGTTTCTCAGCTGTCCCCTGGTGGATGGGAACATTTTGAATGCCAAAACATTTTGAAACAATAGAATTTCACCAATTTTATAAGACTATTTTGTTGTTGTTGTAGGTCATGGGGCTTGAACTTGGGACCTAGGTTCTGTCCCTGAGTTACTCTTTTCAAGGCTAGCACTCCCAACATTTAGGCCACAGTGCCACTTCTGGTTTCCTGGTTGTTAATTGGAGGTAAGGGTCTCACGGACTTTCCTGCCTGGGGGAACCACAATCCTCAGATCTCAGCCTCCTGGGTACCTAGGATTACAGGCGTGAGCTACCAGTGTCAGGCTTACTAGAACCTTGGGGTTGCAGCCTCCATTTCAGGATATAAAGTTATTTAAATTCATGAGTACCTCAACATGCAAGCCCTTCAAAGGAGCAAAAGGAAACATACACAGTGAAAGTAACAATTATGTTTTTAGTTAATTTATTTTACAAAAAAGGTTTACAACTGCCATGAGGCAGGGTATCATGAATTCAACAAGTTAGTTGTATTACAGACTTCCAAAACCTTTTATACATTATTAGTCTAAAGTAGAAAATTATTTTTTGCTCACTCTGACACTCACATTCAGAAAAATAATATATATAATATGTAAAAAATAAAATGGCAGCTCTAATCTCTCCAATTCATTGTAAGTCAACATCACACACTGGCTTGAGCAATTTCTACACAATAATAATATATTGAGCAATCGTTTTCCCTGCCCTATTTCCATGTCCCAAGAAGCGAGGGCTATAATAAAGATATTTAAGCAACTTTCTGCATAACTGAAGTCAGAAAAGCACCCAAATGAAAACACAAAGAACATCATTAGCAATGTAACCCACTGAACAAAAAATAAAGAGCAACTTGTTTTTACTGTTCAGACCCTTCCCCAGCCTCCAAACTTGTGGCATGTTAAGGCTATTTCTAAACTAGATACTGAGAAGCACTGTGTCGGGGGAAGAAATGAAAACTCCAGGTCTAACAATCATTGCACGGGTTGGGGGCAGTAGAAAAAGCATTGGTGCATACAAGACAAGACAGCAGGCTCCAAGGGGGCACAAAGCACTTGAAAGCCCCCACCTCCTCTGGGCTAGCTATCCTTACATGCTGCCTGAGCGTCAGATTACAAGGAGCTACAATTCTAAACTACAGAAACCAGGAAGAGAACTCTTGTGACTGACTGAAAGAGAAGATGAACTTCCAATTTCCTGAAGGATCCTAGGATTGGCATACAATCGTATGACTGATTTATCACGAAGTTAGTAGGCTACCAGTAACCTTCTAACCAGATCTTGAGAGCTGCTTTGATTTTGACATAATTTATCCTGAAAGGAAAACAGTGCTCAGAGTAAAGTTCTAAAATCAAGGTGGTGGAAAAGCACACTAGTGAACAGATGCGAAGGTCTGTTTTGTGAGGCGCTGAGAAGGTAAACGAAATGATCCCCAAAGAGAAACACGTGAAAAGCAACGTTTTAATACAAAAATAAAATTACAAACCACCTACCCCTTTGTTTCCCAATAAGCACATTTTCTAAGTACAGACAGAAGAAGAGTAAAAAGCTCTGTGAAAGGCTCCTTTATAAAGGTGCGAATACAGAGGATGCTTGTGGGTTTACTGAGTCACTATTTTTCCTACTGAGGTCTACTTTACAGGTGATGATGCAAAGTGATGAGGCAAAAGCTGCAGATCTGCATGTACAGTACACCTAGAATAATCCATTACATCCGCCAAGACTGCGTCACCGTGCGACTTCCTTATCACCTGAGTGCGGAGGGAGGCATCTGTACCCGCGTAGGCCTGCAATGACTCCTGCAAACAAACCTCACACGAACATTCTCACAAAATGCCGCCTTAAGACTTTGAGAGGAAACTGCATGTTAGATTAACAGTGTTCACCTCCAGTTTCCATGAGACTATTTCCCACTAGTATTACCTGAAATTCTTTGTGACTGCATAATTTCATTTAGCAATTAGAATCAAGAATGGTATTTAATAATTGAATACTAGAAGAGCACAATGGACACACATGCACACAACGATGACCTCTAACTGGCTAGCACTTAAGACACCAGAGTCTCAGTTCACTCCTGATTCACATGGCATTGGAAACAGCCAAAAGGCAGCCCACATGATCAAAATGCTATACATAAAAACTTCAGTGTTAGGACCATACTTTAAAAATGATTAAACACTTTTAATGTTAATAAAACCTTTATAATGAACAACTTCTAAGGAACTGATAACTACCTAAATAAGTTAATCCAATTAAAAATTCTAAAAATAGATGAACTGAAGGCGTTAAAATTTAATGTATGATAAACTTTCCAAACTATTACTACAGAATACCAATATTTCGACATCAGTTGGGCCAGAATTCCTGCATGATTCCACTTAGGAGGAAAGATGGGCACAATTCCCCGGGCAGCCAGAGCGGAGAACACAAAGGAAACCGCGCGCCTCCTGCTCACTGGATACAACATCCCACCTAGCCTGCCCAGGACGTCACTTTCTGTGACAGACATGCCACAGAATACCACAGTGCATGTGTGACAGTAACTTGTATACATGTATGCAGAACAACACACATGCATATTTTGGACCATAGCCACTATAAAAATTTAAATACATTAAACAAAATTTATATATTACTTTTCAATAGTTTTTTTTTTTAAATCGTAGGTAATTTTAGAAGAAACACCAAAACACACACACATACACAAAATGAAACAAAATTAAAACCCTTAGCTACTTAGGCTAGAGCAAAGTAGAAATAAGAGAGACGCTCTCCTTCTGACCAGTGAGTGTCTGGGCTGGAGTGCTGCAGGGCGGGGCCTGCGGCCGCTGCCCCCAATACACCCTGGCTTTCTGCACAGGTCAGTCACAAAAATTTCCTTCTCTATTCTACAGACCCATATAAAAATTTTTATAACAACATAACGGAGTATAAAATTAAAAAGTAACATTTCCTCTCCTTTAAAAGTAATTAAATAAAATCACTATGCTATATAAAACCACATTAACCTCAGAATTTTATTAATTTGATACATGGAAAAAGTTACTGGCTTTCCTTAGTGTCTAAACTTTAAAGATTCAAATTTGCCTATATAAATCTTATACAAAATATATGAGAATGAATAGCAGAAGGGGGGAGGTATTATTTTCTTTATCCAACATGTATTTTCTATCTGATTGACCAACTTAAATATTCTGCCCAATTTTAGCTCTGTTGCAGAATATTCAGATAGAGCAACATGCAAATAGAACTGATGTGTATAATAATATCCACAAGGTAAATTCTGATGGTATGATCTGGATTTTTAGATAAGCCATTCTTCTCTTTGCTACAAATGTCTCCCCATTTGTAGAAGGACTACTTTAACCCATGCAATTGGTATTAGCAAAATACAAATACTTTCCTGTAAGGACCATGATTAAATATCTAAATTTAATAAATAGACTCTTGTAATTTCCATAGCTGCAAAGTCTCAATCTTTCTTCTTTTCTAAGACATCCTTAGGCTCTTGCATGGCCGGCACTAGTGACTCTCTACCACTTGGCTCCTGTTGCTCTTTGCTCTCTTCTATCTGCGCCTGGCTTTCCATTTCACTCTTAGAAACTCCACATCTCTCTTCTATGTAGCCTCCATCAGTGTCAGCTGTGTAGATCCCATAGCACATGATACTGATGACACCCAGTGGCAGACCGAAGAGAAAGCAGCCCATAAGTGGTGAGCTCTTGAATATGGACTGTGGAGAGATAGTTAAAACTGAGTTCTCACAAGGTATAATTGTGATATAAAAAACACAAAGTACATGCACATAAAACCACTACAGATTTCATGCTGCTATCCAACTACCTTTAGTTCCAGTGAATAACTAGCAATAATTACCTGATTCACATTCTATAGGAAATCCTAATTTTAGATCCAAGTATACAAGTGTGTGTTCATGTGCATTTATATAACCAGTATGAGCAACAGAAAAAGAGATCAAATAGCATAATTACTTTCCAAAAGTATTCTTTTCACATTATCTACAAAGGACTCTTTAAGATGGTTACTATGCACCATTAGGTATTTGCTGAACTACAGGAAATCTGCTCACAAGAAGGCTGGGATCTTCGCTAAGAAGAGAGCATAAATTTTTCCCCTCTTCTCATGGTATTCGTAACACTTGTTTTGTATCTAGTTGGTAGTAAAGCCTCAATCATTTCCTAATTACCATCATTTTATATGCTATCTAATCACATCTCAAAAAAATAAAAATTATGTTATTGAATAGATTTCCTAGTTGCAACCTGTAGTATTCCCAAGAATATCCAGCATATGACAGAGCTAGCTTCTGCACATAAGAAAAAACAAGTACTGTTTGAGCTTGGCTTACCTCACTAGGACCCTGTATACAAACTATATTTTCATGAGTGCTTTGGCCTGTAATAAGTAAAAATGTCCATGTAGTAGCTCATGGAACTAACTTTAGGGCTCAAACAAATGAAAAGAATGTCTCTGCTATGAAGCTGACAAAGAGCTGACTCTGGGAGAGTCAGCATCAGTTCAGGGCCTGAAGAGGAGGTCCTGCCACAGCAGAAAGGGAAAGGAGAATGCCAAGGAGAAACTGCTGTGATGGGCAGAGGAAAGATATACACAGATCTAATCAACAGGCAATCAGAGGATGGGTAGGAGTGCCACACAGGAGGACGAAGGGGAGTTAGAACAGCATAGATAACCAGGCAGAGAGAGTGAAGAGAATGGAGGGAATATATTTACTTCTAGAGGGAAGATGACAGTATACTCGAGCAAATTAGTTCATTAAGGCTATTTTTTACATTTATGAGTATAAATATTAGATGAACCAATGGTTGAAAATATTGATGAAAAGCACTTGACCTACTCATACCTTAAGGTCTGCTTTTTAAATAAAAAATCAGAAAAACAAGGGAAAAAAAGGAAGCAGAGCAGAGGAGAAAAGGCATTGAAAACACCTGTAGGAACCTCACTACTTAGCAAATGAGAAAGGCATAGAATTCACAAGGTGTTAAAGCTTTAACACTGAAAATTTCACTTTTATTACAAAAGAGGAATAATACCCCAAGACAAAATATTTTCTTCAAAAAGAGTGGCTAGCTCTTGGAAGACAGGCTAAAAATCTCCTATATCTCTGTTTTTATCAAATTACAGAAATTAAGTAAAATCTTTACAGGGTATGGTTGAGAAAATTGAACTGCATGTTCTATCGTCAGCTTAGTTAATTCTGAAGTTCTGTAACTCATTAATCATTCAAAGAGCAATGTCTATCTGCTCAATGTTTAATATAGAGTAGTTCAGACCTTGCAAAAGAAAAAAGAAATATATTGACCTAATGCTATGCATTGTAGGTTTTACCATGGCCAGACATAAAGAACCCATACTTCTTAAATTACCAATGATACCACAAAGCTGGAACTCACCACAATAGTAGATTTGGCATCAAATATTATTCTTTTCACTCTCTGAAAAATGCTATCACCTCCTTGGGCCTTCAATTTAATAAGAAAACATGTATTAATACTTTATTTTTTCTGCTACGCAATTGCAGATCAAAAAGTTGACTTAAAAGTCTTACATCAATAACCCCCAAATCATGTGTTAAATGTTCAGCATGTTTCCTGACCTTGAGTCAACACGCTGTCTCCTCTTGCTCACACCCCACTCAGCTCTGCTGAAGCACGCCCACCTGGGGTCCACGCCTGCACAGGTGCACAGGTTTTGAATTTGGCCTGGCCTGCTAAAACAGACCTGCTGAAGGAGACCTTTGCTACCATGAAGAAGTCCTTCTGGGGATGCAGCTCCACAAGGAATTCTAATAACATTACTCAGATCCCTGAATGAGCCATCTCCCAAGTCTGGTTCATTGCTTGAATTGCTAAACTGCAGGACTGACAAATTTCTGTCCTCCCACATTTTAAGTCAGCTTTCACTAAGTTGCACATAGAAAAGTTTTCACACATCTAAATGAGTTTCACTTTAACCAAGATACCATTCAAAGAACTACCAAAATCCTTCCACGGATTAAGAATGCTTTACACACTCGATTTTAACCCAAGGGTAGCTATGCAAGTGAATCTTTCAAATAAAGTTTTTATAAAGTGAAACAAAGTCTCAAAATAGTCCTGAAGACTGTTATTTTCTCATTTTATGTTAGTATGTATGTAGCAAATGTGCTGTTGCACTGATTGTGACCTGAGATTAGATGAATTTTTCTCCTTTTTTTTTTGGTTGGTGGTGGGGCTTGAACTCCGGGGCCTAGAGCTCTTCAGCTCAAGGCAAGTGCTCTACCACTTGAACGACAGCACTACTTCTAGTATTCTGGTGGTTAACTGGACATAAAGAATCTCACAGAATTTCCTGCCTGGCTTTGAACTACGATCCTTAGATCTCAACTTTCTGAGTAGCTAGGATCACAAAAGTGAGCCACCACTGCCCAGCCTACATGAATTTTCAACATGGATTGCAATCTAGTTTGGAAAACCCTGTGGTGAGACAGTGAAAATAAATACAAAGTTAAAATTATCTGTTCACTTATTTCTGAAAAACATTCCATAGGATTATGTTTGGAATTCTCTGGGGCTCTGGTTTTCAATATATTTTAAGAAATAGTGGTCTTCCTTGTAGGTTTTCTTCAATATTACTTAATCCGATTGTCCTTCTGACCCAGAAATGTATTAAGTACAAGACAAGTGCTCTGTAGCATTTATCCCATACCATGCATGCAACACCATGAATGCTACCAACAGGACCTTCTGGGTCCGGGAGAACAGGACTGCCTGCACTAGGAGAGAAACAGAACAAACAAACCATTCCCTGTCAGCCACCCCTAGCTCCCATTCTACTTCCTCCCTTCCTCATTCTGAAAACTTACTTCTACTGTGCCATCCAAGATGTTAGTAATGAACTGGACCATGTCTTCGGCATCCTTAATTTGTCTATCTAGCAAAAAGTATTGTTGGTTTGAAGTATTCAGTACAACTACAGTTGGGACTGTTAATTCACTGAAAATATAAAACAAACCAATCAAAATCACATTAACGGAGAATAGCAACTACTCTGGCGCTTACTTTTATCTCAGTAACTCTACCTGAAGAAGGGAGCTGTTTTAAATGGCTCCCCCCTCTTTGTTTACAATTTTGTATCAATTTTAAACGAAGGACGACTGTATGGAAAACATCCTTATACAATACAGTGTTAGTCAGCTGAGTAATCACAAGTAAAGTAAGAATAATCTGATCATGTGTGAAGCACCCATTCTTGAGCGGTCCCATCACAGCTGCACACAGGAGACATAGGCAAGGGCACTGCCTCTAGGGCCATAGCATGCTGCCTGCGTGTAATCTGTGCAGTTTCTCCTCAAGCTGCACAAGGTTAGGAAGTAAATCAGCTTCTTTCATATATATTTTTTTCATTTATAAAGAGAAGAGCAATGTACCTATCTTGCTACAAAAATTACATGACAAATAAGTTAGACATCCAGAACAGTATTTTGGATATTATAAATGTTTAGTGCATACTACTACAAATTCTCTATGACAAATTCTGATTCTGGGTTCCCACCGTCACACTATACAGACATACTGCTTAACAACAGAAGAATAAATACACAGTAAATATGTATCTTTTCAAGTACATATAGAACATCTGTTAAGAGAGATCTAAGGCAACAATGTCCTGGGGAGTAAATCTCCTGGCTAAGTTTTGAACATGAAATGTCACTGACAGGTTACTGTGTAGAAGGCTTGGTCCCAGCTTATGGTGTTATTGGGAATTGGGAGAAATGTTCAAGTCAGTAAGGTCCAGCTATAGAACTCAGAAACTATCAGCACTTGACTTACTCCATCAGCAAGGTATTTATATAGTCGTTTCCATCCATATGGCCAAACTGAAAATCTCTTTAACAGACAGTAACAAAGAAGAGAGAGAGATTAGAGAGAGAGAGAACAATATTTCTTTTAAAACAGAAATACTATAAACTTTATAACCTAGTAAGTACGTAACCCTATAACAGGACAACTGTACATTTTGCTTGCTTTTGAGATATAAAGCGCATAAGTGGTATTAATAGTCTCTAAGTTCACTTCTAAGTTTTAAATGCAAGGAAATAACGGTTCTTCTAAGCAAAATATATTTAAGAAAAAATATATTTAAGAAAAAATATATTTAAAAAATATATTAAAAAAATATATTTAAAAAAAGGACTACTCATGAAGCCATTTACTGTGAACCATGAACATCACACACAGACATCTAATCAGGTTTGAAGTAAGAAAATAATACTAGTTTACAGTCCTATCTTTCATGGTAGCAACAAATAGAATGGTTTGGAAAATAGCAAAAAGTACTTCTCCTTTCATTTTTAACACAGTCATCTAAATTTTTGTTAAATCACTGTTCATTTAATCTCAAATTTATGAAAATCTGTGCAGCATGTTTTCTTTTCATAAAACTCGCCTCAAATACTAGCAAGAAACCAGTAATTGATATGACATCAATGAATTTCACCACCCAGACACTTCAGCAGCATCTGATTTATCTTTCAAAGTATGAAATACAAATGAAGATCTCTTATCTAGAAGATGTAGACACAGAACTTTTAGATTTTTAAAAAGTAAGGAGGAATATCTGTATCTATAGAATGAGAAATATTGGAAAAGGGACCCAAGACAGAGCATAAAGGAAACAGCGTGCTACAGTTAATGAGGCTGACGTCAGCCTGCTGCCCATTGGCTTGGGTGTGGACTTCTCCATTCATACTGTCATGCCAGGGCTGAGTTTGAAGTCTGAGAATATTCTGAATTTCAGATTTTTGGAGCTGCTCAATGCATGTTAGTTTTGCTTTAATACATTACAAAACACAAGCAAAATTAAAGGAATCTTCTAGAATGGAAGTACACACATACCTATGGAAATGGTCTCTGTAATCTCTAGCCACTTCCTGAATAATTGACTTTAATCTGTAGAGAAATAGACATAAAAATTTCAACTCCTCATTTGAAAAGGGTATTAGAGATAATTAAAAGGTAACATCTGCTGCATTATTAAGTGGTTGTAGAAAAAGGGATTTCCCACACAAAGTTCCACTTCAGCCATGCAAGGGGCGAGTTAGATGATATTTAAGGCTTCAATAAATTTCAAGGCAACTATACCTGGTATGTTCAAGTGATGTATTTTTCTCATCAATAACTGCAATCGCCACCAGCTTTCCTGAAATTAAGAGTGACATATACTTAAGACAGAATGATATAACCTTCATAAAACAAACTTTACAATGGTCATTTTTCTTTTGATAAGGAATCAGCACAAAATGTCTCTAGAACTTTATTCCAATTACTTTATGTGCTAATACTTAAATAAATCAAGACATTATGCTAAAATTTGTATTTGTGAAATGAAGGAGTAAATTAACAAGGATAAATTTCTTACACCTTCTAAAATGTGAATGGTATCTGTAGCAATTTATAGACTCCAATCGTGTTTGTTTTCACCCCACAACTACGTAGTGTGTTAAAGGCTAAAACTCTGCGAGGTGTACAAAGACCTGCTGGACATGGCTGTAAGGTGGGTCTTTGAAGACCATTCCCTTTGATACCAGGATTCATTAACTGCCAATACAACCGAACAGAAAGAAAATGAGCTCTATTTCTTCACCTCAAAATAGAACATAATCTCACACATCCTCACACCTAACAGAAAGGCAGCTACCGTAGTAAGCAGAACAGTGACAAGGGATCAGAAAGCGGCTGCCAGACACCATGTTCAGGACCAGGCAGAACAACCTGTCTGTGTGACTTTACCTCAGGAAGTCTCCATTTGTTTTAGAATACTAATAACTATTGCAGTTATTGGGAGAGTTAAACGAGATGACATGCATGATACTCAATCTTTTCTGACTCAGGGCAGGTCCAAAAATGTAGGATTAAATCAGCAATATATCATTATAATTTGTCACTAAAATAGTTTCCCTAACCTAATCCTGTTAGTTTGATCTAGACATTCTACATGATATACGTGGCCATTTTTTACCTCCTGAGGAAAACACTAGCTTCCAACACTGAATCTTTTCATTTAATATTCAATACCTGTTTTTTATTTGTTGTTGTGGCTTTCTTTGTTCTGTGGGCAGTAGGGTGTGAACTGTAACTCTCACTCAGCTCTGTCTGGCACTCTGCCAGTTGATCCATGGTTCCTTTCCTGGCTTTTTGTTGATTAACTGGAGAGACTGTGAGACACCAGCCACCTGAGTAGCTAGGACTGTAGGCACTGTTACCCAACGGTACTTGTTTTTATAATGTGTTCCTTTAATTTTCAAAAGCCTCATGATTTGTAATTTTTTTAATATTTTAATTATATGTGGGTAACAATAATCCCATGGACCTGCCAGGTCCACAGAAACACAGCAACAGTTTCTCACACGAGTGCTCCATAATGAACATGGCAGACACTGGGCTAGCTACAAAGACATCATGATGAGCTCATGCAGACAGAGCTCTGCCCAGGAAAGCACAGGCTAGCAGGTGCAGAGATATTCCCATAACGTACAGCTTCAATGAAGACTAAGATGAGTTGTGAGGGAAGAAGCACACTGCTATAAAAGAACATATGAGTAATTAATAGAGTTCAAGGTGTCAATGAAGATTTTCCTAAGGAAGTAATATTTGGCCTGAGTGTAGACAGATGAAAATGAAATGACATTATTTCCAGGCACAGAAAACATTCTAAGAAAGAACATAGAAAGTGCTTTGGTGCAAGTGATATAGCTCTCTTAACCATTTGGAAGGCCAATGTGAGGTGTGAGCGGGGAAGGGAGGGGAAGATGTTTTAGCATAGTCAGTGCATGTGGCAATGTGACCACAAATGACTCAGTCATTATGCAGAAGTTATCCACTGCAGGCCAGGAGGCTACAGGTGGGGCAGTGAGCAGGCACATTCCACAAGAAGGCTGACACCATCTCAGCCGACACAGCATACAAAATCCTGCTCCAGAGCTAGAGCAGATAACCTGCTGAAATTACACAATTGCATGTGAGAACCTTTCTAATTTGTACGAGCAGGACATCACTGAGAAAAAGCTCATGCTCATTACTTCTTATACAGAAAGCTCAGTCTTAATTCTAGCCTGATTATCATAAAAACTGTGGCAACAGGCAGAACTCTGCCAGGCACTGGTGGCTCACGCTTATAACCCTAACTACTCTGGAGGCTGAGATCTGAGGATCGTGGTTCAAAGCAAGCTGGGGCAGGAAAGTCTGTATGACCCTTATCTCCAATTAACCACCAGAAAGTGGCTCAAATGGTAGAGCACTAGCCTTGAGCTGAAGAGCTCAGGGACACTCCCAGGCCCAGAGTTCAAGCCCTATGACTGGCAAAAAGAAAAAAGAAACAGGCAGAATTTCTCATTTGTAATTTGTGATACTGACAAAACATTTTGTATTAGTATCATATCACTGCATATTCATGTCTACATTTGCTTTGACTATCATCTCTTACTTGGTACTGGTGGCTTCCACCTAAAATCTGAGATCTGAGGATTGTGGTAGGAAGCCAGTCCAAGCAGACAGATCTTGGAGATTAATTGGAGAAACTTCCATCTCCAATTAGCCAGCAAAGAAACAGAAGTGAAATGTGTGGCTTAAGTGGAAAAGCGTAGAGGCATGGCTCAAGTGGAAACATGACAGCCCAGAGTGAAAAGACCCAGGAAGAGCATGAGGCCCAGAAACCAAGCACGCACAGTACTGACAACATAACTAAGCAAAATTAAGAAAAGCATTATTTATTGTAGCTAAGATATGGAACCAACCCACATGCCCCTCAGTAGATGAATGGATCAAGAAAATGTGGTATATATACATTACAACACACACAGACACACAGACACACACACAAAATGGATTTCTATGCCTCCATCAGAAAGAATGATATCACCTATTTGTTACAAAATGGAAAGACTTGGAAAAAGTTTTATTAAGTGAAGTAAGCCAGGCCCAAAGAAACATAGGTCCCATGGTTTCCCTTGTTTGCAATAACTAGTACATGTCTGAGACAAGCAGAAAAGGTCAAAAGCTATGTACATATGGACTGGAAAGGTGGCTCAGTGGTAGAGCGCTTGCCTTGCATGCATGAGGTCCTGGGTTCGATTCCTCAGCACCACAGAAGCAAAAAGAAAAAAGCCGGAAGTGGCGCTGTGGCTCAAGTGGTAGAACGCTAGCCTTGAGCTGAAGAGCTGAGGGACAGCGCCCAGGCCCAGAGTTTAGGCCCCACGACCGGACCCAAAAAAAAAAAAAAGCTATGTACATATGACCATATAAGATGATGCTAAGTGAAATGAACCCCAAGATAGGGACACAAGACTTTTTATGTTTCTTGCTGTTGTTTTTAATGTATTTATAATGTACTGTGTGATTTTCTTTTGTTTCTTTTGTATGTTCTTCCCCCATGGTATAACCCGTTTCCACTGTATTTGATTCTGGTGCCTTGCACCTTGTTTATACATTTTTCTGATTTGGGGAGGGGAAGGGAAATATCAAAATGCTGAAATAAGAATACAGGCTGACCCATTGTAACAATGAGATGTACAAGACACTATGTTGAAAACAAACTTTACAACTTTGTGGGGGGTGGAAGGACTTGAGGAGGTGGTGAGGGAAGGGATGGTAGGGGAAAAACAAAGGAGGGGGTAACAATGCTTGATAGGAAATGTACTCATTACCTTCCTAATGTCACTGTAACCTCTCTGTATTTTTACAATAAAAGTATTTTTACAATAAAAAATATATACTAAAAAAAAAAAAAGAAGAAGAAAAGCAGCCTGTTGCCTCTAGCTTCTTGGCAGAATTTCTCCCATTCCCTGATCATTCAGTGTCTTCAACTTCAATTCTGATAAGCAAATCCTCTTTCTAATCTTTAAGCAATACACATGGTGTATTATTTGGGAACACCAGTCTACAGAGCCAGAACTAACAACATTCAGATCTCCTTTGATTGGGAAACAGAGCACCACATCCATTTTCTACAGAACCGTATTTAAGCTGTCAGTTATGTGCTTGCTACCTGTGTCTCCCAGCTCATACAGGAGGAAGCCATCCATAGTGAGGTAGTTCTGAAACCTCTCCCTGCTTATCCATGAGGACAGATCACCATCTTCATATTCTTAAAAAAAAATAAAGTGAAAGACAATGTGATAATGAACATGTTTTTACATGACAATGTTTATAAGAATACTTGACAGAGGGCTTAATTTTAAATCTGAAAATGCTATATTTAGGAATGCACTCTAGGCAAACAGTCAGATGCACAGAAAAGATTAGTGTACAAATTAATTCTTCAAAAATTCTTCACTAAAAATAGCAACAATTAATTTAAAATACAGGAAAATAAGATTCCCTAAACAAAATTGAGCAGATTCTGGTATGTTGAAAAAGACTATTTATAAATTTAAAGAGAATAGTGCTGTAACACTACAGAAAATAAAGTACAACAGATGGTGACGGAATGCTAAGCAAAGGTGTACACCCATAAAATGCCGCTCCGGATTGATGGTTTTCCCTCAGTGATGGCACTGCAGCAATTTTTATCACAGCTTTTTGCTCTTCTCTGTCTTGACATTTTTCTTGGTTCATAGCTCTTTCTCACATTTATAACTTAAACACACATGTAAGATCATAGTAGTATGTTGTTTTTTTTTCCCCCCTAATATCAAATAATTCCTCTACTAAACAGCTAGGTAATATACTGTTCAAAAATTTATATCCCAATTAGAAATAATTCTGAAGTAATTTTAAAAAATGATTGCAACTGCATGAAAAAGCCCATGTAAAGCACATATCTTTAAACGCCTGCCAAGGCTGTCATCTGGATTACACTGATTTCTTGGAAGATGTGCTTTTTCTGTCACTTACAATGCTAACAAAACATTTTCAAGGTATCAAATCGATAAAATAATATAATGCAAATCTGAAAGCATTTAGGGATACAGACTTAAAAACAACTAGCCTATTACTGGGCTACAATCTTCTGTCGGTGAAAAAAAATCTTCGGAAAATAAACTATCCTCCTGATCTAGTGCTTCCACACTGACTAGCAGTAGTTAATGCTTGGAATAAAAGTGAACAGGCTCTAAATACTGTCTAGTGTGTAGGAGTAAATTTTGGCTCTGGTGACACCAGTAGGATCTCCACATAATCCTCATGTCCTGCAGCCACACCTGAAACATGGGAGGATGAGAAGATGTCCTTTCTCAGGCAGGCTCAAAGAACACATTTATATCCACACAGTCATGACCATGTGTTTCCCAAAAGCCTCAGAGTGGCTCTCTGACAAGAGAAAAAAAAAAAAACAAAACATCCGAAAGCTGGACCTTAATACCAGAGACTTAGCCTCTTCTGCAAAGAAGTTTTATCTGTAAAATAGTAAGAATACAGGTCTTCAAGGATTTTTAATTATACTTTTAAGTAGTTAAATTATATTTTTATTATCTTCAAAGGGGGTTACCACTGAAAAGTGAGTTTATGAAGACAAGATGTCACCTCTTTCATCATTCTCCCCCATCCCTCCAAGCCAGACCCTTAAAGGATCATTTTAACGAACAAAACCAAACTGAGTATCATGTAAGTAATGCTGTAATCAAACAGCAAGTAGGAAGGACAGATTTAGATACAAATTTTTCTTCTCTTTTTTACATATGCAAATTATGCTTAAGATTCCTTTTGGACTTCTGTCTATGCAAACATTCAAGGAACATGCAGTAGAAGAATGATTGCAGGAGTATATAAATGAACAGCCAAATAGCTGCACATGCCGCCTTGGTCCTCACTCTCAGTTACCACCGTTGTAACACAGGACATAAGCTATTTGCTATGTAATCTCTTTGGAGGAAAATGACAATGTCAGTAAGATGGTATACCTACTTACTGTCTTGACACCATAAATCACAATGATTCTATAGCAAGATATTAATTTCACTTTCTACTTCATTTAAACACAACAAAGATTAGAAATTGTTTAGTTTTCATAACTGTCAAAATAAAACTTTCCTTTTACTAAACTGCATCAAAGTTGTTCTATTGGACATTTTTCTGTCCACTTGAATTCTCATTTTACTAGAAGTCAATGCCATAGCACACTCTAGAATGCTCTGCATCTGTGGTCTTCAACACAGTACTCAGGCCACATCAGGTCACTCACAGTGATTGGAATAACAAACCGCACTTTGAATTTATTAAATTGTGATTTTCAATGTTGCAGTGATGGCCATGAGTAACTGCATGCCCTGCGAGACAGTGCTGTGTGGTTACCAGCAGCTGTCATTCTCTATTTCCCAGTTTCCCATGCTTTGGCTGCTCTATCCCATTTGGAAATCATGTGAGTAGATAATTGATGGCAGGAAGGAACAAGTGATCACCTTATGTGTATAAACAGTATGCAGTCATCAAAAATGAAAGGTTCTGTGCTATTTAAGAGGTATAACAAAACACAAGATCATGAGATGCCTCTGGGATTTACTTTAAAATGATCCAAAAAACGCTATTTAGGTATGTGTTAGAACTTGGTAATAGTATGCAGGACTTTGATTGTATCACTGTTTATGATGCTTAGTATAAAAAAATTACTTCGAAAGAAAGTATATGCTTCAAAGAAGTAGTATATCTGAAAGGGAGGGAGAGAAGTAGGAGAGATTTCTGGGTGTGTGTAATAGGAACTAACACTGTTTTATTTGTTCATGTTTATGTGAGTAATGTTTGTTGTCTTCTTGTAATTTCTGAGCATAATGAAATAGTATAAAAGTTTCTCAAAACGCCAGGTCATTTGATAAAACACACTGAAAACAGAAGTCAGTAAAAGTATACTAAATTGAAAACGTGCCACTTAAGAATCGATGAAGAAAAAATTCACATCAATCATTCAACTAACAGGGATTGTAAGCACTTTGGCATTTACTAAATCTTTTAGCAACACATCCTATCATGCATACAACATTGCACATTTTCTATGAGTAAAATCTTTGAAACTCACCATCATAAACGAAGTATGTTTTATCTTTGAAAACAAGCACAGCTGGCATCTCTTTTAGCGTCACATACTGCAAAACATTAGAAATTTAAACAAGTTTTATCAAATTTTAATCAACAGCTAGGATTCAAAAAGTACAAAAATATAAACACAGTCAATAAAAGTTAGTAAAATAATACCATCAATAACAATAATAAGCCAGTAGAATTCAAAGCTCATCCAAAGGTTGGATTTAAATGTTTATAAATACCATATACATACTTTGGACAGTGTTCTGTTTGCCATGGGAGACCATGGGTTACTCTTAAAGCTGCTAATAGCTGGAGTATCACCTAGGAAGTAAGGAAGGAAGCCCTTAGGAGCAGTGAAGCAGCAAGACAGGCATCACACCAGATGTGTGATGTGGGCCCAACACTTCACTGAGGGGAGGGTCTGTTGCCTTCCCCCACAAACATAAAGACACCGAGGCTGCCTACCTCACACAGTAGCTGTGAATTGCATTAGAGAACAAGCAAGAGCACAGTATAAACAGTCAACTGATTTTAAAAACAGCTTGCAATCGTCATTCATAAGGTCATTAGGAAAACATTTGTTTCTATACAACAAGTACTTCTAAAGAGTCAAACTGCAGTAGAGAATCAGTGATGTTATTACATGAACATGAAAAACGAAAGTAACTATGAATAAGGGGAACAGAAGGCAGGCATATCTCAGTACGAGAAGACAGGAATGATTTAGTTACATTACTAATCAAAAATGATGTAGACTGTGAAAAGAACTACTTCATCGCAGAAGTGGTAAAGCACTTGTTAGGCTCAGTGATCAAGCACAGGTTATTAACTGTTCCTGAGAACTAATTCACAAAGATGTTTGGGAAGGGTTTTTCACATTCAATATCTCCTCCTTTCAAAGAAACCTGAGTGGCACTTTCTAGAAGAGCACTGAACTAGTCTCAAGACTTGCAGTTGTCATCTCATGCCACATACTCCTGGTCCACCCTTCTCTCTGTGTTCCTGTGATCGCACCATCTTATAACTGTCTATTCACTGTTCTCTGTGCATCTAAGTATTCTCATGTTAAAAACTGTTTCAATTCATTCTTATTCTGCTCACTGTACTTACTCAAGTTTTCATAAAACCTAGATTAAAGCTAGAAAAATTCCGAATAAGACACTAATATTCAAAATACAGAGACCACAAAATTACAAACTTTCTATTTTCTTGAGAATCTCCTACAGTAGTAAAACTCTTCATCTTATTTTGAAATTACTATTTTTTCCAGTCAACTTTTTACAATAACGTATTTAAGATCTAATAAAGAGAAATGACACATATTGACATTTTGAAAATTGACTTAAAAATGCTTAAAGAAATTAGCTGGAATAGCTAATAATAAAGTGAGCCCACGAAGTAGATGTCATATGTACCCTGTCCCCCAAGATTTGGCATCTGAGGGCCTTAACTAATACATTCTATTTTTATATTAGGTCTTGGATGGTACCAACACCCAGAACTACTAGAAAACTTGACAGGAGTAGGCAGTTTACTCAACATTCTGGATTACCAGGGACTGAACCCAAAGTCAGAGCTCGACTACCTGAGCCATGCAACTAACCATGTATTTTCTATTTTGTTTTTGAGATAAGAGTCTTGTAAACTTTGTCTGGAATGGTCTTGACCTGACATTCTATCTTTACCTCCCTGAAATCTTGAGCTAGGATCTCACACACACATACACACACACACACACTCTCACACACACACACACCCTATGTAACTACTGATAATCATTTACACTAACGTTGTTTATTTGAAGTTAGCCTTTGGATATCAAGCAAGCCGTACTGAGTCAAATTAAATCACTGAAAGCTCTATAGATTACCCTGCCCCCTCCTAACTTGTTCCCCAGTATTCTCCCCCTCCCCCCTAGTCATAAAGAATGCCACCATCCACCCAGGTATTCCACCCAAGAATTACATCATCCTCAGTGCAACCTTTCCTTCTGTATCACGGGGTTATGACAATTCTCACTTAAACACAACAAGCCTTTCAAGTCTCCCCAGTTCTCTTACTAGCTCCTAAGACCTAACACCCTGTGTACTGCAGAACTTTAACTTGTCTCTTTACACCTATCCAATTCTTTCTGCACAAAGCAGAACATCCTGGGTAACACAGAGTAATATTCAGTCCATATTCTTTAACTACAACCCCATCATCTGCACGGCCACAACATAGATGATATGGAACTGTCTCTGCTACCTCCTGTCTCACTGAACCAAGCACAATGGCTACTGTAGTTCCTTTTCTGTTATCTTTTATCCCGTAACTGTTACTGACAGCCTGCCTATAGACCTTCACGTGCTCTTTTTTAAATCAGGTTTAATCCCAGTTTATATTGTTTTCTTCTCACACGATATTTCTTGGCTGACTCATACACACATGGTTATGCCAATCCTGTATGTCCCTATTATCACAATGCCTTTTGATTTTTTTCACTGCACTTGTCCTGTTTATAAAAGTTTTTCTGAGCATCACTAGTGAATTCTGCCAACCCAACAGAAGAGTTCATCTGCAACACATACTACTTATAAACAAGTCAAGGGTTTCAGATACCATCTGTCACACAGGTTATTACATAAAGACAAAACCACAAATGTAATGAATTCTTCAGTAAATGTCAAGAATCTGTTGAAAGTCGATTTTATAAGTAGTTTGGTATGAGCAGTAAAGAAAGAGCTAACAGGTTTACTCTTTCCATATGTCACAATAAATATGAAAAAAATCAAGCAGTAAAATCTAAAAGAAGAGATTTTATTGTCAGAATTCAATTTTAAATATTACCTCAGGAACCACTTCTTCTGAGGCAGAAAAGAAGTAGGTATACACAATGAGTTCTGAAGCAGCATCTATGTATTTCTCCTGTGACAACACAATAAGAAAATAAAGACCATTTTACAAGACTAAAGATTAAAACTGTCACTCATAAAATGTCAAAGAAGTTTTACATAGTAAACATCATCAGGTTAACACTATCCTACTATACACTGAGTTTAACGAACATAAAATAAAGCAAGTCAAATACATCATTAAGGCAAAAGACACTGCAACTGCGTGTAAAAGTCTGTTTCCAAGTAAGGCTGAGTTGGCTTAATTATAAACAGAAAGTGAGGTGAATTCTGGTGCACAGTGGCCAAGGAAGATGTGCATGTCTCATGTCCACAGTGGTGAGTTGTGACACCCACAGCAGTACCGCCTTGGACAAAGACTGTTAAAAGCGATGCAAACTCTGGATGGCCTTGGGGGTCAGTAACAGGAGAAACACCGAAGCAGGCACTATGTACATACACAGCTAACACCACAAACAGCAAGTACACAACCAGTGTTCTGGTTACAAAAATTACTTAGACAACAAAATATTTCCAGCAAGAGTGGAGTAAATTTTGAGTGACATCTGAAACCAAGTTAAATTGTCATGTGAATTTTCTGTAGGTAAGAAAGTAATTTCATACTTTCAGTGGTGATTCACCGCCTACGTAAACAAAGAACACAGGATGTCGCTTCTGCACATGTTCAAACATTTGCTGACTTGGAAGTGGTCGGATTAGAGCCCTGTTAGAAAGCAAAATGAACAAATATGAACTAAAAATAAATGATATAATCACAGCTGTATGATGGTCAATCATATTCTAAATTGTAAGGTTTTAGAAATGTCAACCGCATTTCAGATGCCTTGGCAAATCAATATAACCTAACAAATTCCCAGGAAACAACTATTATACCCATATATCTATGAAGTATCACAATTCAATCAATTAGGTTAAGTTGTGAATAAATACATAGCTTCAGAGCATCATCACTGAAAATATTTTGACAGATAAAAAACAGAACTGTCATCTATTTAGAGTCTTCAGCTAAAAACAAACAATTCACGAGATCTTATTTCCCTTCCAAAAAAACACTCAGGGAAACACAATGTCATTTAAATGTATTTAAGTATTCAATGAAAGTTAAAGTCCCAAAAGCTTTAAAACATATATTAGTTTCAGAAAAATGAAGAAAGAATAGTATGGTTTATGCATAAGAAGCTCAGCTCATAAAGAGAAATCAGGACTCTACAATAGTTTCATTATGTAAGCATTTGACAAAAGCCAGCACTGGGAAATGAGTGAAGGCAAAGATTATTAGAAAGTATACCATGGAATAAATAAAAGACACAATCTTGTAAATATGGTATACAATATTAGATTTGTACTGCAAGGCATCATTAAAAGGATCACAAGACAGGCTAAAGGCAAAGTTTCTCAAAGTGCACACATAGCTAATTGCATCATTTTCCCTCTTCTATTTGAATACTTAGTAATTAACTAGAAGTGATGCAACTCCAGGACTGGCTCCTGAAATTGTATTTGCAATAGAGTCCCAGCCATTTACCTCAGGGGTCTCTTCTTATGCTTATTAATAACATAAATACGAACAGGAAAAGTCACTTAGGAATAAAACACATACTAGCACCTCATATATCACAGTTCCTGCAAAATGTTTTTATTCATAAAGGACACGAAAATGAAACCCACAATTACAATGAGAAAATAACAGAAGTTTTATTAACAATAATTACAAACTTTAATGTATACAGATCATTACTATTTCTATTTCCTCAAATGCTCTGATGGACTATCAGCCCAACACAATGAATCTTTGCTGTTTTAATTTATCATATAATGGTTTAAAGCTATCATATACATAGACAAATGGAATAAATTCATTTTATTTAATTTAGGTAAGTCCTTAAAATATGATTGTGAGGTTCAGTTTTATTATAATATATTGCATTTTCAAGTATTAGTATGGTATGCTAAATTATTTTTATAATAAGAACTTACCCAGACACTCTATGAGCAAATTCAATGATATCATCTTTAGTTCGTGGTCCTCTGTAATTATATGCCAAGTCTCCTTTTAATCTTAAAAGCAAAAAAAAAGAAAAAGAAAAGAAAGAAAAAGGAAAAAGGATAAGTACTTGTTATCTTAACTCTTTTAACATTTAAGAATCATCCTCTGTTGCAGCATAACTTATAGTATGCAAAAGGGGAGGTATAGAGGAGTTTTCTAAGTGGCACAGTCTGTAAAACACAATGAGTAATTGACTTCAGACCACCAGCAACTCAAAACTTAAGGAAAAAGATTGCGCTTTACTAGAATTATATGAAAACATTTTTCTCTGTATTTGATAGGCACACTGTATTCAAGCCTTCAGAAAAATGAGTAATGAACACACTCATGGACAAGAACTTGAAACACTAACTCTCACTCTCTTCTCTATCTAAAGGGGAAAAAAAAGAACTAACAGAGTTTAAACAATATAATATCATAGTTACTTAATAGATGAACCAATGTCCATAATATAAAACTCTTCTACAAATTTAAGTAATTCTTCAAAAAAGCCTGTCAATGAGTTATTAGTTATCTAATTAAATGAAAGTACAAAAAGGAAAAATGAAGAAGCATAACACAACACTGTAGTTAGAAAAAAAAAGAATGATTTGCTTAAATCAAAGTAAAAGAAACATAGTAAAGTTTTTTTCAAAGTGCAGGAAGGAAGTTCAACACATACACACAACAGGAAATAAGCTTAAAATACTCAAATTTTGAAGTGCGAGATTCTAAAATATTGAAAAAATTCCTTATTTTATCATAAAATAACTTTCAAACCAATTCACTTGCTCTCCACATTACCCCTGTAAGGGTAATGGAAGTCCTGGAAACATCTAGAAGTTATGATTATTAAATCACCACACTATTTCTTCTAACCTATATGCTTTATTACACTACCTCAACACTCAAACTTAGAATTAGCATCCATCAATTATGATTGGTTTCTTTTTGCTTCCATGTCAATTATATACACGCGTGATCTGTGAGAAATTGTGATCAACAATGACAAAGCAGAGCCCTCTCTCCCAAACGAGACTATTCATATGGTCACCCCACACAGCCAGCACAACACATTAGCCATAAGCAGCAAAACTACTCAAGCAGAAGAAAGGCAGATACAAAGTCCTCTTTGAACACACTTTGCCTAAAAAGAAAACATGACTAACCCCAGATCTTTCAATTCACCATGGAAATACTAGAAATAAACATAAAATGTAAGCAGAGTGAACTATTAAAAATATACATATAAACATACAACACTCAACTTACAGCTTAATTGTTGGATAACCTCGAACTCCAAACTCTGAAGCAATGCCTTGATAAGAAAAAGAATAAATAATTCTAAATTTGTTTTAAATGAGAAACTAGGTAACAAATGAGCCTTTTACTTAAGGGATATAGCTCTATGTACACAAACCCATGTATATATGTTTTGAAGCATTAAAAAAAGAAAAAAAATGACAATTTTTCATATAAAATAATGTCTTAATCTAATCTATGGTATTACACAAAATATAATGACAAAACAAAAATAAATATCAAAAGACTAAATTTATTAAGAACTCATATTTTGGTAAAAGAAGAAAAAACATATACAGTACAAAAAATGTCTCATTTGATTCTAGAACAAGAATTTATTATAGATCTCATTATTCTTCTACAAAAATTAATTAAAAAATTAAAAGAACCTCTACTCTTCGCTTATTGTTCCCTGAGTATTCAAAGAATGGCAGTATATTTAATTACAATACACACTATACCTGCAAAAATCTCATACTGTTGTCAACATATGATAAAAAAATCAATTTTTAATTTTCTGCTTTTCTAATAACCTAGGACAATCCTAATAACCCAATTTTCAAGATTATTCTGAAAAACATTACAATGAGAAATATTTGCTATAATAGGATCATTTGAAAACAAAAGAGCAAACATCAATAGAATATCAGGACTTTTAAGAGTATAGCAACTGTTTACCAAATTAATTACCATACTACCTGAGAGACTAGTCAAGAACAGAAAGGTAGAGTCTCGTTATTTTATCTTACACAAAAACACTTATAAAATTATGCAAAGTATGCAGAATTAATATTAATGCACATCATTTTTCCCTTTACAACTATTTTACTTCCAGGGTACTTGTTCATCATTGATGGAGAAAATACTTCCAGACTTGGGCTCAAGTTCTCTAAAATACTTAATGATCTTCATAAATGTTGTTTCTTATTCCTCCCCAAGTCAAAAGAATGACAAAGTAAATCTGTGGCAAGATAATATCACAAAGCTCTCCATCTTCGTTTGTCAACCCTCCCTTAGATGTGTGGGAGAATTTGTTTGGAAAAGTCTCCTTAATGGTCAATCTATAAAAGTCACTTCAAAGAGCAAGGGTAACCAAGATTGATTCAGGCCTGCTGTGAATATTCATGTGAACTCAATGCAACTGCTTGTATTACTTGTGTCATTTATCATTTATGACTTAATTCTGTACATTCTAACAGAGTATGAGTGCAGCTGTTGGGACTGCACTGTTCAAAGCTGAATGACTTGGGAGATCAGAGTAAATTATTTTAAACGTCTGCCTTCCCAACTGCTGGAGGCCAGCAAACACAAGTTCTTATTATATTCTACTAAAACTCATTAAAAACAGCAAAACCATAAATAACATAAAATACAAACATAAAGAATAACTGATTAGGGAAGAGAGTTATGTTCCACTAGTAATATCACCACATAATTTATTTTTAAAAATTTAAGGCCAAGTGTGGTGTAATCCCAGAAACTTGAGAGACAAAGATTGGGAGGACTGTAGTCTAAGGCTATCCTAGGACAAAAATTACGGAGACCTCCATCTCAACCATTAAACCAGATGTGGTGATTCATGCATGATTCATGCCCACAATTTTAGCTGTAAGTAGAAGGATCAAGGTCTGAAGCAAGCCCATGGCAAAAATGGAGGCCCCTATGCAAAAAGAGTATTGGGGTGTCACTCAAATGATAAGAGTACTTGTTTATAGCAAAGCACAATGCCTTGAATGCAAACTCTATAATGCCAAATACCAAATAAAGAAAGTATGCAATCAATTAGAAACAGTGGTGGTCTTACAGAGAGTGATGCTATGAATCTCCAAACAGGCTTCATCAGAAAAATACTAGCTCTCCACAGATCCCTATCCAATCAATTAACTTGCATGCCCTTCATTTTTACATCTAGAAGATGGGGATACCACATACCACCTACCCTAAATGCCTTGTCTACTGGACCACTAACCTTCATTTCTTACCTAATTTTCTGGATAGTACTGGGGATTGAACTAAGGGCTTAACCACTTAAGTCAATCCTCCTCTTTTGTCATTGAGTCCTAAAGCTTCATCAGCTTTAAGCTTTCTGTAGAGAAGTTGAATGGTACAATAAAAAGGATAGAAGCAAAGGAAGGTTGGGTCTACAGATAGGTAACAACTAGGCAATGCCTTTATATACATGCACACATACATATACACCTACCAACGTAACCTGATGTGTTTCATGACTCTGAGTCTGCTCTCCCTTGTGAGAATACAACTCATCTTGCAGGATTGTGAGACTTTTTAAATAGGAAAATATATAGAAAATAATTAGATCTTTAAAAACTAGATGTAAGCCACATCTTACCATTAATTACCGACACATCAATGTACAGATAACCCTAAATACTAACTTGTAGAGCATTTTATAACGAGCTTTAATATCTTTAAACTGCTCCTCACAACAATTTCGATGCAGCAGGAAAAATGTGTGCAAATTCAGGTAATACAAAATGACTTTCACTTTTCATTTTATATGATAATTTATACAAAGAATTGAGGCTATTTTTCATTGGGTTAAGAATCAGAATCATGCGTGACTTCCTCTGAAGACTGGTAATTTTTAATGTGCACAAAATAAAGATAAACATAGCATTCTCTACTTCATTTCTGCATTCTCCTTGAAATGATAACAGCTTGCCATAAAGACAACTAAGAATATGAGTCATGGTGATCTTTGACCCTATGCCCAATAGTCTAACTCAGTGTATGAAGTACATACAAATTTCACCTTTTGTTTTCTTCTATTATTTGACTGATAAACTACAAAGGTTTTGAAACCTATTCAGCCCCAAATTCCTATTTTCTAAGTATTTACTGTCACTACACACATCTAAGAAAAGCCACAAAATACAGTAGTGATTGTCAGTTAAATCAAGATGGTTTGGGATACAATGGGAGAGCAGGGGAACTAAGGAGGTACTATTTGAATCTGGTGAATAGAGGACAGAGATGGAAGTAAAATATCCTATTATACACTAAAACCATGCCCCCCAAAATGATCTCAGAATCGGCCACCCAAAATATTAACACAAGGTTGAAAAACTGAAAACACAATTATTGACCAAAATGAGCTTATAAATGTAACCTATAAGTAAAAAGTCAGAATATGAATTGTCCAAATATAACTGTAAATTTATGCAACACAGAGGTAAAATAGTTTTACCATAAAAGTTACCACATACAGGTTGAAGAGATATAAATGTACCATTTCAGAGAGCTTATATCATCATTCAACTTTTCAATGTAAAACAATTTTAGTACTCATTTTTGAAAAGACCTATTGAGAGTCTAATCTGAATTTACACTGAACACTATTTAACATCTTATACTATTATTAAACCTGGGTATCATAAGTTTTGCTACAATTTCAAACATATAGAGCAGAATAGACCATAATAGGTCAAATTTGTAATTGTTCAAGCCATCAGATCTATACAAGTCTGTAGATTTCAGCAAGAAAATTGATGGCTTTTCCTTTCAACTACTGCAGTTTCATAACGAAAAATAATCTACTATCAAAGATAGTCAAGAGACATTTTCTATACTTTATCACTCTGAATAATCTTATCTTGTTCCAAACCAAAATCCTATAGGTATATACCCACAAAAATGGTGTATCATAGCATCTTACTTTTTGACTGTCCAACTTAATTATGTAGCAAAATCATGTAAAATGCTTTTTAAAATATGCCCACTCGACCCAATCTAAAAGATTTGGAAGTTGGCTTGGGCCTTTGGATCAAGAGCTGACAAGAAGCACCTGCAAACCTATTGAAGACAGACAATCAACAGATTATAAGCAGAAAAAGAAGGGTCAAGAGGACAGAAGAAATTTTCAGTATTCCATAGTTAAGACACACAACATTGAGAGATGGCTTGAAAAAACAAATTAAGCAAAAGTCTTATCAAAACCTAACCAGAGCAAGCTGGGCACTCAGGTGGCTCAATCTATAATCCTACCTAAAGGAGGCTGAGATCTGAAAATCACTGTTCAAAGCCAGTCCTCACAGAAAAGTCTGTAGGACTCATCCCCAATTAACCACCAAAAATCCAGAAATGGAAGTATGGGTCAAATGGTGGACGGCCCGACTTGAGTAATAAAGCTAAGGCTCAAGTTCAAAGCCCCATATTGTTATGCGTACACATGTGCACACACAGGCACACACACACACACACACACACACACACACACACACACACACGTGCCAGGGCAAAAAGGGCTAGAGGCATGGATCAACCAGTAGAGTACCTGCCCAATAAGTATGAGGTCTTAATTTCAATCTCCAGTACTGCCAAATAAATAGATATATAAAGTGTATTTGTTTAACCAACGTATCTAGACATAAAAACTTACTTTTCATGAGTAACTACCGAACAATAAATCAATAACTTCTTTAATATCATTAAATGTTCATTTCAAGAAATATAAACTCATTCGTTATTCTCTCCCTTTCTACAATAATATACTGGTTATGTTTCTTGACCTTTCAAAGTTTCAAAAATTCATTTCCAGGACTGGAGATGGTGCTTAGCAATAAAAACGTCCATTCTGCAAGCACCAGGACCCTCAGTTCACACTCCAACTCTAACAAATTACACACACACACACATGTATTTGTGTTGCTCATTAATTCTAGCTCTAACATGCACCTGATTCTAAATAATAACACTATCAATTCAATTAAATAATTGAAAATGTACATACGACTAACAATCCTTTCCACTAAGAGTGGTACTTCACTGAGATGTGTACACTGTCACTTCTTCTAATGCTCCTCTGCACTACTGGGTCAATCCCTACCATTTTCCATTCTAAAGTTTCCCTTAATGACCTCTGGGTCTACCAGTTCTCCTCTTGCATCCCATAAGCTGTGCCATCAACATTTTTCTCTAGTATTTGCCGTCTCAAAATTGTGTATTACTTTCCCATGGATAACTGATCAAATGCAAAATACATTACCTGAGCTGGGAGGCTTTAACAATCAAGAGTATCTTTTAGTATCATATATGTGCTAGGCTTTATGCCAAGAGGCTCTAAATATAGAACATTTATAGTCCTCACAATCCTGAAAATATCACACTCCCTGAATGCAAGGAAACTAAATTTCAGAGGGAGTAAGTATTTTTGCCAAACTATAAAGCAGCCAAGATTAAAACCTAATGCTAGCTCATGCTAAAGGTGTAACCCAGAGAAGACAGTTGACTACCTAAAAAGAAATGTAGCTTGCATCCTTCTACTTTCTCTATTAGCTAAAAGATACAAGGGATATTGTGTGCTACGTCATTACAACTTCAAAATAAGCAATGGAAAGCATTACAATGAGGTATTTTCCAATATGGAGACCAAAGTTTAAGGCCTTCAGAAACAATCCCAGCGTTATAGAGCAAACACAGGAAACAAAGGCAGGCCTTGCTTTCTGAAGCTATGACCTTTCCAAACTTCTATGATAACTTATAATTCTTTAGATTTAATTCCTTTTTTCCAAAATCTCTTAAGACAGTTGTCAGTGAATTTTATCTGTAATAGGTCAGATATTTATTTCAGGCTTTCAAGAGTATTTTTAGGAGTTAGTTTTTGTCACAATAGTTCAATTTTGCTAACAGGCACAAAAACCACCAGGACAACAGCAAACAGGTTCCAAAACTTTGGGCAGGTTCCAAAAATAGGCAGAACAAACATGACGTATCTCCTAGTTTCTCTGTGTATGTTTCATTCTGTTCTATTCTCGATATGGACTCAATAAACTCACTTTCAACTCTGAATATCTATTTTTACTGTGTATCTATGCTAAATACACTTACCTACACATTCCCATGTGCTCCACCAAGGCTATTCATACAATAACAACATCAAAGTAACATGTTGACTCCTGTACTTGCCTCCTGTAAATGGACTTGACTGGTAACAAATGATGGTTTACAGGTCTCCCCTAGGGCCTCACTCCACATTAAATATGTAATGACCAATTCACTTAGCTCATAATGTCTTTGAGATTATCAAGATAATTTTACAGGATCAAAAAAGCAATTTGCAAGATTTAAACACTACTGCCTATAATTAAAACATTTTCAATTTAAGAACAGTAAAATAATAAACTTTAAGAAAAGGCTTACTAGAATAGGAAGTGGCATCCATCTTTCCAACTTTCACTGGAGAGCCAATGCTTTTCATCTCAAGACCAACTTCATTCCAAATTGGTTCCAATTTTTTACAATGGCCACACCATGGTGCATAGAACTATCCAAATCAAAAGAAAGAAAGAAACTTCAAAAAGTGCTACTATATAGGCCTAAATATTTAAAGAATGTCTTTGACTATTAATATGTTAATAATTTGTATTTGACAATAACTTCAGTCTGATGGAAGGCTTGTGTGGCTCACACTTGTAATCCTAGCTAACCAGGTAGTTGAAATTTGAGGATTGTAGCTGGAAGCCAGCCTGGGCAGAAAAGTTTGTGAGATTCTTATCTCCAAGTAACTAGCAAAAGAGCTGAGACAGTACCCAGTGCCCACTGAGTTTAAACCTCACTGGTAGTTGCGTGATGATGAAATATAAATACATACACACACATACACCACATATACTAAAAAAGTGTTAAGTTATATAGTCTATACAACTACTTAAAGATAATAAAAATATTAATTAAAAATATGTATAAATCTAGATAGGTTAACTTCTAGTACAAATACTATTTCAGTTCATTTAAAATGACTACTGATATTTTTTAAAGATACATAAGCTAACATAGAAATGATTTTGCTGGGGTGGGGAAGGTGGCTCAGTGGTAGAGTGCTTGCCTTACATGCATGAGGCCATGGGTTCGATTCCTCAGCACCACATACACAAAAAGAAAATAAGCAGGAAGTGGCACTGTGGCTCAAGTGGTAGAATGCTAGCCTTGAGCTGAAGAGCTGAGGGACAGTGCCCAGGCCCAGAGTTCAGGCCCCACGACCGGACCCAAAAAATAAATAAATACATTAAGAAATGATTTTGCTTCAAGTGAATATGTCCACATTCTATAAAAAATGAAACACCACAAAACCATGTGAATACTATTACCACATCTATCCCCTATTAATGACAAACACTGGGCTATTTTTCGTTACAGAAATTTAAGCACAGCAGTTGCCTTTGCTGACTTTCATTACTTCTACTAGTGAAATGTGGGCGATCATTAAGATGACTGCTTTGGCTAAGAGATAAGACAGGATGGTTAAAATAAAACCACAATTGCCGATACTTCATTCAGACTTATGAAACTGTGAGGTGATACTTAGGTTCCCTAGTCATACTACGTAACCAACTGCTCGTGAAATGAAAATTATTCTTAAACTTCCAACTATGGAAATGTGAAGTTACCTAAGAGAGAGAATGAGATAGAGGTTCAGTGCCCCACTGAATGGCCTTGTAATTGTCACATCTGCTATTCTGTCCCTTTCACTTGTGGCCACTTTATGTTGCGCTCAGGCATGTAAAACAAGCTCCAAAAACTACGAAGTATAAGTATCTTCCAAACTTGAAAGTGAGGAAAGGAAAATGAAAATTGAATTTTTCTCATTATCAAGATGAATGCATGCTGAGACTACTAAGAGATATGAGCATACTCAATCTCTTGGAAAACATGGAGAAACAGTACTGTAATTCAGATGTACTTCACTAAAGGAGTAGGTTCCAACTTCTGTCCTCAATGTCCCACATACCTCTGAATTTCATCAAAAATAGCTAAGTTCCTTTGCCAGGAACTTTAAATGTGGAGACTAATTTTTACTATGAAATGAATAAATTCAACTTAAAACCTAGAGAATAAATCGTAAAAGATTATCTGCAACTACGAAGATGGAACAAAGAAGCCTGCTGAGGATTTTTGGTTTTTTTGAGGGAGGCAATGAAAGTGACAGAGGGAAAATGGTGAATGTACAGAGATGTCACAGTGAAATCCCTACTACCTAATAACAAACTAACAAAACAACTAATAATAAACTATGCTAATTGATAAAGTAATACTAATCAATTAACAAATAACTAATAACACTAATGCAAATTTCAAAATACAAAACCCTAAGAGTAAAACCTGAGAAAGCAAACAGTAGATCCAAATGCACGTTCTCTTCTTTTAGAAAATGCTACATAACATAGTAGGGGAGGGTAATTAAATTTATATACTTACATCTACAAGCCAAATATCATCTTTTCGATTTTCTTTAAACCTAAAGGCAACAAAAAAAGACAAATCTGTAATTTGACACTGGCACTCACCACAAACATCTCCACTTATATAGCACACGACACATTACAGATGTGAACACCACACAGTTACAAACTTCTAGTACAGGCAAGAATAAGTTGATGACTACAGGAAATGTAACAAATTCTTTCAACAATGTTTTACTCTATCACCTCTAAATTTTGTCCTACTTCAACAAAGACTTGAAAATACTCTGGGAGGCAAGAATTGCCTAAACAGGTTTAGATGTTCTTTTTTTGTCACTATTCCCTAAGCAATAAATCATGCCAACTATTTACACAACATTTACATGGTAACAGGCATGGACTGTAACATGACTTAAACAGGACTTAGGTGCAGAGACGTAGTGTGTGTAATCACATCATTTACCTCAGGTGACTTAGCATCCAGATTTTGCCAACTTTAAGTCCTGGAAGCAATCCCCTTGGACACTGTGAGATGACTCTATCTACCGCAGGCCTTCACCACCCTATCCATTTACCTGTCCATTAAAATGCTTGGCCCTGTGGTTTAGGATGCTATGTGCATACACTGTATGCCCATGACTGGGCCCAGTATGTGTAAACCAAGTCAAAACTGTAATCAGCATTTAAAACAGTGTTCTTAAAAGACAAGGAAAAGCAAACACGGACCTGCAGAGCCTAGAGCAATGTGGTTCAAATCATCAGACAGCATAGGGACAGCAAAGTTAGGAAGTTAGGCTCCCTGGGAACATAATGAATGGCACCAAGGGCCAAAGGTTGTATGTGGTGAAGAATACCCTGGCTTTCTGGCTTGAGGAATCTGACCCTGAGCTGTGCATTAAGCCAGGGTATGATCAGAAGGACATCTATTTCTCTCTGTTTTGATGCCCTGTCAACATTGGCATGTCAAGCTCAGTCTAGGGTCATGTCATAAATTCCATGCAACTTATGAATCCTGGAGACGCTAGTTGTTCAACTGCTAATTCTGCTGCTACTCAGTTTCTATATTTACATGATAAGCATGGTATGCCATTGGCAATGAGCATCTACATGCCTAACCAAATGATTCTTAAAAGCACAGCTCCTCAGGCATTCACTACTGATACCACACATTCAAAAAGGGATAGACCCCTCAAGGCACCACTGAGCTCAACAAGGTTACCACTTGTTGACTGCAGTTTTCTTCACAATCAGAAAATTTCTTTAATCAGACCACAGGTACTTTGTAAAACAGGTGAACATGTTTGGGGCCCCTGAGACCTTCCTCAGGGCTTTTCCAGAACTGTACTGTACTGTTATCACACAGATTCTGCCACCCAATCAGGTGTCTTCAAGGTGGACGATAAGCTAAACTGGAGGAAACAAATCTTCATTCAATGGTCACAGTGCAACCAAGAGTCTACAAAAAACGTGCCAGCTGTGATCCATTTTCTCCCATGAAAGAGCACCAGGTAAGCCAGTTGGATGCAGCTGAGACAGGAATATGCCTGCTGGGGCTGAGCAGCTCTGAATAAAGGCAAGCTGCTGCCTCTTTATGCTTACAGCCTTCCACAAGGCAGTCCTGGCAAAGATAAGGCACCCCAATAATCAGGCCTCCAGCCAGAAGCAACTGGTCCGAGAGTGCCAATACCTATATGAACCTGGTTGGCCTGGGAAGCATGAATCCTTGGCTAGCAGGCAAAACTCCAGAGACTGCAAAGCACTGGATGTACACCCACTCTGGGGTGGAGAAGTCAGCTTCCCTCATGTGACCTGCTGGGAAAAGTGGCATTATTGCCTGCAGTCATACCTGAAAGACTACACAAAGGACTGTAGGATGAAGCTAAAACCTTTTACCTACTATAAGCCAAACCTGTGAGATGACCGCAGTGATACTAAGATATGAATTCCAGCACCCACTCCATATGATAAAACTGCAACAACTATGTAAGTAACAAAACAGAATGCTAGTTTTTAAACTCTTAAACAAGCTCCTTGGGGGCACTCTCTCCTTTGGACATACACAGCAGGCAGAATCATTCCTGGAATCAAGCTAGCAGTATATAAACATTGGACATTTAAGCAATCTGTCGCTGAGCTCTCCCTGTTATTTAACATTAGATGCCAACGTGTAGGTAACATCTAAGTGGAACGAAGTCAAAATGATATTTAAATAGATATACTCACGATTCATCTAAGTCTTCTACAAAACCTTTACAGAAAGCCACATTAAATAATATCACTAGGGGAAAAAAAAAAAAGAAGAGAAATGTAAAAACCTCACAGAGGTGATTTATCACCTGGCTTTTGATGCATGCTTAGTCACGGTTAAGGCGTTTTGATTTGTTTTCTTGGTCATCTACCAAACGTTCACCACGGATCTGGGACGTGGTGCGTGAGGCCGAGGCGTGTGCAGCCGTCGCTGGCGGGGAGGCGCAGGGTCCTCGGGGGGCAGCGGGTGCCCCGGACGCTAGCCACGGGGAGCCCCGGATCGGAGCGCACCTCTCACGCTCCTGACCCGCGCGGTGACCCGGATGGTGACCCCCGCAGACCCAGGCCGGCCACCGCGGGTCTCCGCACCATCCCGGCCCTCGGCCCCAGGAGCAAGCGTGGTCCTCCGCACCCGACTGCTCGCAGACCCTCCATCGGGGGGTGAAAGGGGAGAGGTCGGGGGTCGGCCTGCCCCCACCCAGGGAGCCAGCGCGGCGGGAACTTCCGGCGCCGGGCAGGAGGAGCCCCGAGGGGCCCCGCCGCGACCCCGGCTCGACCCCGACCCCGGCCGCGCCCCCACGCGCGCGCGCCGCCTCGCCGCCGCGGTTACCTGTGGCGCAGAGCCTGAGGCCGGCCCGGCCCCTGCGGCCCGGCGCGCTCGCCATGGACAGCTGCCGCCGCCGACCCGGTGGAGGTGAGGAGGAAGCGCCGGCGACCCCGCCTGCCGGTCCGGAAAGGGAAGCGGGGCCGGGCCGGCGCCGGGGAAGCGCCGCGCGGAGCGGGGGCGGGGCTGGCGGCCTCCGCTACCCTCGCGGGCCCGGCCGGCTCTGCCTCTGAGCATGCGCGGGGGCGCGGCGTCCGCGCAGGGGAGCAGAGCGCATGCGCGGGGCGCAGGCGCGGTCGCGTGTGTGCGCCTCAGGCGGCGTGGAGGGGGCGGCGCGGGGAAGCGGAGCGTGGGGTCGTGTCTCGCGGGAGGGGAGGGGGCATGGAAGGGGGCGGGCGACTCGCCGGGCCGGGTCGGATCCGGCGTCCTCCCGCGTGTGCTGCTCCGGCTCCGGGGCCGCGTGGTGACGGGTGGGAATCGTGGGAGCGCGCGCGCGGGCCCGGTGCCCAGCCCCGGATGCCCAGCCCCGGAGCCCGAGCCCGAGCTCGGGCCGCTTCTGCAGCCCCGACCTGAGTGCAAAGCTCTGCCGCGGTCAGCTTCGGACCCGTGCACCGGACGCTCTAGAACCCGAACAAAGGCGATTGGGCTTAACTGTGTATATGCATATAAAACTGTATAACTACATAACTATGTAACTATAACTGTATATAACTATAACTATATGTAACCAGAACTATATGTAACTATCTCTATATAACTATGTAATTATATGCTATATATAATTACAACTCTATGTAACTATATATAACTATAACTGTATGTAACCAGAACTATATGTAACTATATATAATCATAACTATATGTAACTACAACTATATATAATAATATAATTATATATATAGACTATATAATTATAACTACATATATAATTATAACTATGTAACTATACTATATACAATTATAACTATATGTAACTATATATAACTATATGTACTATATATAATTATAACTATGTAACTAATTATATATAATTATATGTAATTATATACATACTATATATAACTATATGTAACTATATATAACTATATATAACTGTAACTATAACTATATGTAATCATAACTATATGTAACTACAACTATATATAATTATATAATTATATATAGACTATATAATTATAACTATATATAACTATGTAACTATACTATATATAATTATAACTATATGTAACTATAACTATATATAACTATAACTGTATGTAACTAGAACTATATATAACTATATATAATCATAACTATATGTAACTACAACTATATATAATTATATATATACTATATCTAATTATAACTATGTAACTATACTATATATAATTATATATAATTATAACTATATGTAACTAGCTATATATAATTATATACATACTATATATAATATAACTATATGTATAACTAACTAACTAACTATATGTAACCAGAACTATATATAACTATATATAATTATAACTATATGTAACTACAACTATATATAATTATATAATTATATGTACTACATATAATTATAACTATTAACTACAACTATATATAACTATATATAATTATAACTATATGTAACTATATATAACTATAATTATATACTATATATAATTATAACTATACACAATTATAACTATATGTAACCAGAACTATATATAACTATATATAATTATAACTATGTAACCAGAACTATATATAATTATAACTGTATGTAACTATAACTATATATAACTATATAATTATATATATGCTATATATAATTATAACTATATGTAACCAGAACTATATATAATTATATATAATTATAACTATATGTAACTATATATAACTATATGTAACTATAACTATATAACTATATATAACTATATGTAATCATATATATATTATATGTAATTTTTTTTTGGGGGGGGGTCCAGTCGTGGGGCCTGAACTCTGGGCCTGGGCGCTGTCCCTCAGCTCTTCAGCTCAAGGCTAGCACTCTACCACTTGAGCCACAGCACCACTTCCGCCTTTTTTCTTTTTGCTTATGTGGTGCTGAGGAATCAAAACCAGGGCCTCAGGCATGCAAGGCAAACGCTCTGCCACTGAGCCACCTTACCAGCCCTACTATATATAATTATAACTATATGTAACCAGAACTATATATAACTATATATAATTACATATATACCATATATAATTATAACTATATATAACTAACTATAACTATATATAACAATATATAACTATATGTAACTATAACTATATAATAACTATATGTAACTATAACTATATATAACTGTAACTATAACTATATAACTATATAAATAAGTATATATAAATATAGGCACACACACACACTGTGTGCCCAGTCCCAGGCTTTCATTCAGGGCATGGGCGCTGATCTGAGCTTTTTGTTCCCCTCAAGGCTAGTACTGGACCTCTTGAGCCTCACCTTCACTTGGCGTGTTTTGATGGTTAATTGGAGAAGAGTCTTTACAACTGTCCTGCCCTGGCTGGCTTTGAACTCTGCACCTGAGATCACAGTCTCTTCCTCAGGAAGCAAGGATTTACAGTTATGAGCCACCAGCGCCGGGCAATCCCTTTTTATTGCTTTCTGATTATGCAGAAAATAAATTCCTATAGGATTTATTGCTGTAAAACTGGTAACACTTTTGCATCTAGTCGCTGTATCTGATTTAGAGAAGGTTTTTACTAGAAGTAAGGTACCAGAGATTTTGGTTAAACCAGCTCTTGAAAGGGTATGCTAGGGGAACAACAGAGGGATATGATGTCGGCCTATTCTGTTTAAGTTCAAAATTCTGCTGGACAGAAATGTCCTTATCAATGCTATTCCTAGTGACAAGAACATGGTGAATTACAAGAGGAGTGAAAGCAGGCTCTAGATTTCCCTTCTGTGCAGGCACTCTGCAGATTCAGATATTTTTTAAATAAAATACAGACTTAAAAAAGTAAGAGGACTATTGTGAAGACAATGTTAAAAAAGCAGTGCAAAAATTATATTAAGTAAGCCAGACCCAAAGAAACATAGGCCCCATGGTTTCCCTTATTTGCAATAACTAGTATATATCTGAGACAAGCAGAAAAGGTCAGATAAGTTGATGTTAGGTGAAATAAACCCCAAGATAAGTATTCAAATGTTTTTGCTTTCATGCAATTGTTTCTAACATAATTATAAGATGATTTCTTTGTTGCTTTGTATGTCCCTCCCCCACGCTATAACCCCTTCTTTCACTGTATTTGATGTTGGTATAATTTGTGGAGGGGAAAGGCAAAAACAAATTGTTTAAATAGGGATACAGGTGGACCCATTGCAACAATGAGATGTAAAAGTCATTATGTCGAAAAACGAACTTTACAACTTTGGCTGGAGGGTGAGGGGGGAACGGGAAGGGGAAACAAAGAAGGAGGCAACAATGCTTGATAAGAAATATACTCATTACCTTGCCATGTTAACCCCTCTGTATGGTATTTTCACAAACAAACAAACAAAAAAAGCAGTGCAGCAGATTTATATAGTGCAGATCACTTTATTTTCCCCCTCCCATTCTCATTTATGTTGAAGTTCACATTGATCATGATTCACCAGATAAATACAAGCTACTAGGAAGAAAGCTACTATTTTAATAATTCACAGGATGTGCTAACCAGGAAGTTCCACCACCTCTCCAAATTGGAGAACCAAGAATTCTGGGGTTGTGTAATTCAGTGTAAGCCTGAGGACTGGATGTCATGATGCAACTTCACCCTGAATTCCAGGGCCTAGAGACTAGGAACAAGAAGTGGGAACCGGAGAAGATGGTTATTTTAGCCCAAGCTGAGGGAGTAAACAGCAAACTAGCCTTCCCTCCACAATCCTCCCCCCCTTATTTTTCTGCCAAAGAAGTATGGCCTTGCCACATTGGGAAGGCCATCTGCTTTGCTCAGTTTCTGACTCAAATGATAACCCGCTCCTGGAAATGTCTTCACAGATACACAGAACTAAAGTTCTATCCCCTATCTGAGAATTCTTCAATCTAGTCAGGGTGACACATAAAATTAACGATCACATTGCTGATACAGAGTTCCCAAGAACAGAGACAAAAAGAACGTTCACCTGTTATTCAATGAAGCTAGTGTGAACATGCACAAACCAGAAGAAGCCTGTTGAGGAAGGAAATTAGGCCAACTGCACTCCCAAACAGAAAGGCAAAAAAGTTTAATGAAATGCCATCCCAAAATAATAAGCCAGGTGCTGGTAGCTCACACCTGTAATCCTAGCTACTGAGACCTGAGGATTGTGGTTCAATGCCAGCCCAGGCAGGAAAGTCTGTGAAACTTATCTCCAATTAGCCGAAAGAAAACCAGAAGTAGAGCTTTGGCTAAAAGTGATAGAGCACTATCTTTGAGCCAAAGAGCTCAGGGAACAGCACCCAGGCACAGAGTTCAAGCTCATGAGGGACAAAAACAAACGAAAACCATCATGACCCATCCTTCCTCCCCCTGCCCCCAGAAATACAGCTATGCTATGACCAAAGGGAGAAATTTTAATATAATTAAACTATGTCATCATTGAAATATAGCAACAATTTTATGACTAAACCCCCATATCTAACAGTAAACTAAGAATAGTAGAATAATAACATGTGCTATGAAGGCTAATTTGTAGCAGTTCTGGGACTATCCTGAGATGATTTCCTAGATCAAATGAATCTCTAGTCCAAAGCTAAAACCTGCTAAAACAGTAATATTTCTGGAATTGTGGACCCAGAACACTTTTTCTCTTTCCCAGCTTGCCAGCCTTGTTAATTAATAAGAGGTTGATTTATATTTGATCTCGGTAAGCTGAGAGCCCGTAGAGTTCTTCTGAGGCTGATTTTACAGAGGGAATGTATGTGACAGCAAGATATGAAGTCCCTGCTGAGACTCTGCCTAAGGCTTCTTAGTTCCATAGGGATCTATGCACAGGTTGCTGTTTGTAATGGAAGAAAGAAAGTGCATATTCTTTGACACTACAGAAAGATAACGAAAGCTGTTTGCTCAGACCCCTGGCATTGAGACACGTTTTTTTCACCCATATAATTGTTTCTAGAGCACTGTTGTAATATTATACCCT